GTATTATATTGTCAATATAATACTTCCATGGTATTGCTTACCTAAACTACATAAAAAAAGTTTAATACCGTTTTATCTCGCCTTCATATAGAACGTGTTCTACAACTAATCTGCTTGTCCTTTTTGTTCACTGACTACAATCAAAGAACTTATTATAAAATTTTGTGATAAAGCATATGTCAATAATGAACTTAATTAGTTTTGGAGTGTACAAAGCTCTTTTGATGATTTAGATAGATAACGTGCTTTTGATGGTCCTTTCAATTCTGTTGACAGTTATAACTTTTTGACTCTTTACACTTTACTTCAACACAATCTTATCAAACAGAAGTTTTCTTATTGAATCAAATGGTCCTTGAAAATCTGAATGCAAACTTATTTTTAAGCCTTCTTTTGTCATGAATAAACGAAAAAGGTAAACATGCTAGATATTCTAAGGACTTCTTACTGGAACTGTCATGAGATACAATACTATACAATATACAATAATTTTATTGACTAATCACAGTGCCTTCATCACAGCAGAATAATTACAGTTTAATATTGCTACAAGACAAATCATACAATACTAAACAGGACTTGAATGATTAAGTAGATTACAACATTCAATATATATACATTTATTTAAAGAAAATAACTGCATATAATATACTGATGAATAAAAACAGCAAAATGGATTCTACTTGGAAAACAAAAATTTCATATGATAATAAAAATAATAATGGGGACAGCTCTTAAGTCAATTATTTAATATCCAAGTTTTAATATCTTCCCTTCTCAATTTTGAGATGATTAAAGCTGTTAATTTTCTCCTTGACAACATCTTCCCAACTCCTTCTCTATGCCCGTGTCTGTAGTAACAATGTTTAATGAACGTATATAAACACGGTTGGGCTAAGGAAGTACTTCTTTAGAAGTGTAATTATTTCTGGAATGTGATTTTGTAATGAGAATCATGCTCTCCGGTTACATTTGGCGCCCAACTAAAAAAACCCAGTGGTTAGATAGAATTTGTAGCTAGGGTATGTGTTGTTAGAGTCATAATGGTATGATGACTCTTTAGGTGGAGGAAGTTAGCCTGGGTCCTGGCTCACTGCACGACAGCCTATCGACGAAGTATTAGATTGGGTCAGGATGCCATGCTAGGAGGAAGTGTGACGGGGTTGTTTCCCTTGCGTAGTAGATACTTAGCCGTAAGCGGATGAGCCGATTAGAGCGTTTGACCAAACATTGCTGATTGGTCTTTTGAAGAAAAGAAAATTTTTATTTTTATTTCGCAAATTTTATTATGAGTATAGCAATATTTAGTGTCTATAAAAGAAGAAATTCGTTTTGTTGGATCCTCAAGCTAAATTCAATGATCCCGGGTTAGACAATATGATTTTGTTATGAGAATCATGCTCTCCGGTTACATAAAAATAGCTGGTAAATTATTATTTCATGGATTTCCTTAACACAAATTTCCTAAAATATTAACTAAATTATTTCATAGATAAAAATATTCGGTTTGGAAGGTTAGCTGTCCCTGTAGACACATCCTACTTTTTACGGTGATGTTGTGTTTATTAGTAAACTTATTGATCCTTTGAATACAATTAATCTGAAAGGTTATCAATTTAATAATAGTAAGAACTTTGAATATGGTCTTGATCGGTACTAACATTGATTTTTTTTTTAAATAAAAAAATAACAAAATATGTATTGCTGTACAGTTATGAACCCGTTTGGTGCTACACCCTGTCGATACTTATATCTATAGGCATTGCACAAGGTCATGCTTTTTTCTAACTGTTTATGACGTTTTTAAACTAAATCCATTTGATTTATAGTGATTAATATTTAATTCTGCGAGAACATGGTTTATCTATTAATTGAAATTGGCTTTAAAATAGCTTTGAGTATTTGTGAGTAATCTCAGATAGGTACCTTGTTTGAATAGGTTTGAGTATTTGTGAGTAATCTCAGATAGGTACCTTGTTTGAAAAGCTTTGAGTATTTGTGAGTAATCTCAGATAGGTACCTTGTTTGAATAGCTTTGAGTATTTGTGAGTAATATCAGATAGGTACCTTGTGTGTGCTTTTTGTTGGTTTTTGTTTTGTGTGCTTAGTGTCGTTCTGATGAGTCCAGCTTTTTTTCTAGATTTGGATATTTTGTTTTATGTTGTGCTGTTACACCACTGTCTCAGGTTAGAGGAGGGTTGAGTTCCCACAATTATGTCTAACATCACCATTTTCAAATATTCGGCTTTGAGCGTTATTGATTAAGGTATATCCAGAAAAACGCTTAGGACGCATAAAATTTATAATGTGTTGTTTTCATTTTTAACAGCACTGGGTCGATACCTCTGCTGGTGGACTCTCAGTACCCGGGGTATCATCAGCTCAGTAGTCAATACTTCTGGACTGACATGATTTATACAACACCTTTCGAATATTGTCCGTTAATAAATTATTTTTAAATTATAAAAGAAACTAAGGTTTAAACTAATTCCTCAGGCAAAGTTAAATGGATTTGGCTATTTTTTTTATGCCCTTTTTGGTCATATGACTTTTGAACTGTTTTGGTTCTTATACATCCTTGGCTTTTCAAATATTCGGCTTTGAACGTTCCTGATGAAGGTAAATACAGAAAAGCGTTTCGGACGCATGAAATTTATAACGTGTTGTTTTCATTTTTTTCTTTATGTACCTCTCACATGTCAAGAGCCTGTAATTCCGCGGTAGTCGTTGGTTGCTGTCTACCATATTTGTTTTTGTTTATTGCTTTAACCATAAAGCAGGCCGTTGGTTTCTCTTTTATATTCTTTCAAAGTTTGTCATACCGGGGCTTTGTAATGCTATCGAAATGATATCTCTATACCATGGTAACTTGGTTTGTGAGAATTAAGAAATATAAGGCAATACAGTGCCCTATAACATTCTCGTCCTTTAGTCTATGATGGACAGTTGTCTCATTGCCAATTATACCACAGGTCCTTATTGTTATACAGTAGCTTTTTAAGATCGAGTGATGTAACAAATGCTTTGTTTATTTCATTTTACATTCAAGTTTAAACTAATAACTTCTCAGTGATTTCTGGGAATATGTCAGTAAGGTTTATATATCATAATACAGTCTGGCTAAAAAAAAAACTGACGAAAAGAAAAGAAAATCTCAGAAAGTACTCGACAGCGAGTAAGAATCAGATACCATAGGACGAGGATGATAACAACTATAGGGCACTGTACAGCCTTCTACTGTTTAGTTAGAATTAAAAGGTCCCAGCATGACAAAATGTGAAAGAATTCAAAAAAGAAAATCAACTGTCTGCTTTTTGTCGAGCCTGCGACTTTTGTCGCAGAAACTCGACATAGGGATAGTGATCCGGTGGCGGCGGCGGCGGCGGCGGCGTTAGCTAACTTCTTAAAAGCTTTATATTTTAGAAGATGGAAGACCTGGATGCTTCATACTTTGTATATAGATGCCTCATGTTACGAAGTTTCCGTCAGTCACATGTCCAATGTCCTTGACCTCATTTTCATGGTTCAGCGACTACTTGAAAAAAAAGTTCAGATTTTTTGGAATGTTAAATTCTCTCTTATTATAAGTAATAGGATTACTATATTTGGTATGTGCGTACCTTGCAAGGTCCTCATGCCCGTCAGATAGTTTTCACTTGACCTCGACCTCATTTCATGGATCAGTGAACAAGGTTAAGTTTTCGTGGTCAAGTCCATATCTGAGATACTATAAGCAATAGGTCTACTATATTTGGTGTATGTAATGATAGTAAGGGGTACATGTCTAACTGGCAGGTGTCATCTGACCTTGACCTCATTTTCATGGTTCAGTGGTCATAGTTTAGTTTTTGTGTTTTGGTCTGTTTTTCTAATACTGTATGCAATAGGTCAACTGTATTTGGTGTATGGAAATATTGTACGATGTTCATGTCAGTCTGGCAAGTTTTATTTGACCATGACCTCATTTTCACGGTTCATTGCTCAATGTTAAGTTTTTGTGTTTTGGTTTGTTTTTCTAATACTGTATGCAGTAGGTCAAATATATTTAGTGTATGGAAATATTTTACGATGTACATGTCAGTCTGGCATGTTTTATTTGACCTTGACCTCATTTTCAAGGTTCATTGTTAAATGTTAAGTTTTTGTGTTTTGGTCTGTTTTCCTAATACTGTATGCAGTAGGTCAACTATATTTGGTGTATGGAAATATTTAATGATGTACATGTCAGTCTAGCAGATTTTATTTGACCTTGACCTCATTTTCATGGTTCATTGCTTATGTTACGTTTTTGTGTTTTGGTCTGTTTTTCTTACACTTTAAGCAATAGGTCAACTATATTTGGTGTATGGAAATATTTTATGGTATTTATGTCAGTCGCGCAGTTTTTATTTGACCTTGACCTCATTTTCACAGTTCATTGCTCAGTGTTAAGTTTTTGTGTTTTGGTCTGTTTTTCTTAAACTATAAGCAATAGGTCAACTATATTTGTTGTATGGAAGAATTGTTAGCTGTACATGCCTGCCTAGCATGGTTCATCTGACATTGACCTCATTTCCATGGTTCATTGGTCAATGTTTAGTTTTCTTGGTTAATGTTAAGTTTATGTGACAGTTGTAAGAAAGCTTTATATTTAGGACTATCAACATAATATCAATGATTAGTAAAGAAGGCGAGACATTTCAGCGTGTGCACTCTTGTTACTATACAAAGTGTGAGAAAATCGACACCAGATTACGGATATCGAGTGATGCCAAGGCTCAATGGTATTTTCACTGTTAATCTGAAACTCCAAACAAGTGTCTTAATTTGATTTTAATATCCTTAAACATCGTTGTATGAAACATCTTAAAAAGCAACGTCGGGTATAGCAAGATATGTATACATCAATCATGAAGCATGTAAACAAGAGAATTATGTTTTGCGATATTGTCACTAAATAGAAATAAGTAACAACCTCACTTCAGCAGATATTTCCCCATAAGATGTCTTATACAAAGCTGTTGCAGGGTAGGACTATGGCTAATCTTTAATTTTTACAAATGTCGTTAATTTATTCATGTTAATGATACTAAGGTGACATTAAAAATGATATTTATGCATTAAAGTGATCATACTGTATTACCATATTAATTTATCAACAATTCTTTTTTATGAATTTGAAGGGAATAAAGTGTTTTGTATTTTTACAGCCAATTAGATTTTATTCATACCTCCTTCCTTTCTAACATAAAAGACCATTTTACCATGAAAACCGTTCACTTATTCCAGAGTTATGCAAAGTATGTTGCATACTACTAAAATCTCACATCAAGAGTAACCCAAGAAAAAAAGAAAAGAAACTAAGCAAAATTTAGTTTTAAAAAAGATGACATTTTGTTCTTATCGTAATTTTCTTCTTTTTGGTCAAACCTGAAGGAATTGTGCCAAATACTTGACACTACTGGAAGCTTAAATCAAGAGAGACAAACTTAAACCAGTCGTTCAAAACTGGATGGTATTCTACTTTCAACAAAACTTTTCTATCCTATTTATATTGCTCTTAAACAAAAAGTACTATGACAAATCTGATAAAATATGCATGGAGGAATTTTCAAACGTATTCACAATTAAAAAACAATTAAAATTGGAATAAAAATTCAAACATGAAAATGTTTAGAGTTTAAGCCTTCTTGTTAATTATTAATGTAATGTCAGACACACATAAGAAATTAAAAATGAAAACACACAAGTATATAGCATGCATCAATTCTAACAAAATATTTTATGTATTAGCGTTAAAAAAAGCTTGCCCAACTTCATCATTTCATAAATATATATGCAATGTGATACGAGAAAAAAAATGTAATTTTTCATAAAAATATAGGTACAGAAATCAAGAAGAACATTTGTGTTATGCCCCAAAAGTGCTGAAGTGTCATGTTTGTAAACTTGAGTATATATGTTTACAAACATGAACAGTGATAACACTATAAAATACCATACGGACATCAACAAAAACAAGTATAAAAAAAATACCGAACTCATGGTTATAACAATTGTGAAGTTTCATAAAAACGAGAACAATCTATAAACTAAAAGTAAAATCGTTATACTTAAAACTAAGTTAAAAACTTTTTACGGTTATTTAAATGATACTGAAAGACTTTTCACTGTGAATAAAAATATCATATTGTTAAAACTTAATTATCTTTTTAACAGCGTCAACATCACATGCACCATCTTCTTTCAAAAACCAATGTCCCCACTTTCTAGCTCTTTCTTCCTTCGCCTTGTTGCCCATTATCCAGTTATTGTGAATTAAATAAGGCTTTGTCAATTTTCTGTTCTGTTCCGAGATTTCATACCACTTGCCATCTGGAAATACGGAAAAGGGCAAAATGATTGATTTGAGACCTGCATATTTCTCAAGAACTAACTTCGACAAGTAAACTTGGTCGTTTTCATAAGTCGGAATAGTTTTATTGGATGGCTCAAATTTTATTTTTTCAGAAAGTTTGAGCATCATTCTGTTCAGCTGTTCAAATGTTGCCTTTGTTGCTGGGGTTGGGAAAAGGTACAGAAATCCACCATTGATTGCCTTTGGTGACTTGTAGTTACTTATAAACACAATATCATGTTTTTCAGAATGCCCTCTGAGAGTCGGCAATGGGTTTGCCAGAAATACGGAGTCGCATTCAAAAGAATATAATTCAATATCATTCTGAAGTAAAGCCAGCTGTATCTGAGTTCTGAGTATCATGATTTTAACATAACCCACATGGCTATATACTTGATGTTCATTCATAGATTTATCCACATTTAATACAACAACAGTTATATGCGGTGACAAAGCTTTGATCTTTTCTGTCGCATTTGCTGAGGTAGTTATCATTATCACCTAAAAATGGAAAAAGAATGGCTTGAAATCTAAATTTAACATTAAAACACAAGCATCATAGTATAAAAAATGTCGTTCAATTTGTATCAAAATTTAAATATTTGTTTTTACCTAAACATCATTGAAGCCTAACTTGATAAAGAAAAGAACAGATATTTGTCCCCGTATATTTTTATGGAGTGGAATGTAGGTGGGTATGTTTGGTAACATGCCAAAAAAATATCTCCTAAATTAATATTTATGTTTTGCAAACATTTTAGAAGGATTATATTCGGACTCCAAAAAATATAGCAAAGGCTCTTTTGGGTCAAGTAAAAATATGCAGGAGTCACCAATGGTAACCCGGGTACCTTTGTGCATAATTGGGATTTCATTTTGACATGGATTCTAAGGCTCAACCTGAATAATAAAATTTAAAGCGTTCCATTTACCTAACTTGTATTTTGGTGGGAAATTGCCCTTCAAAATAATTCTATTGTAAAACAATTGATATCAAACGTCACAGGATAAAGCAAAAATATATAGATATATGTAAAAGCTTCGATCATTGTCATAAAGTAAAGATCGTTCCTGGAAGCTGGCATTATGCGATAGCCTTCTGCAGAAACCAGATGAATTGTATTTATATGAAGTATTTTCCATATACAAAATAAAGGGTCGTATGAACGTATTACAAACATGTATAAACTTTTGAATGACATTTGATTGTTTTTTGTAATTTAAGGAAAGAAACTATAGAGGTCTGTCATTAACATAATGGTACCTGTTTATGAAATCCCATATGTTTAGTATTGCACACCCAGCTTTCAACCATATTAAGATAACCATCATTAACAAGTGTTATTAAGACTGGACGGTCGTTGATTTGTAAAGTTGCCTTAAGAACTAAAGCTACGTTGCTATCATTATTTAAAACTGTTCTTCTGTTTGTCTTTAATTCAGACTGGAAATCTAAGACGAAATACCGGATGAAATAGAAAAGCATTAGTATGGTGATGAAATATATGATAAAGCGTTTGAAATTTGTTTTTCTCATCCTTTGATATGCAGTCTAGGTACTTGTACGGGTACTGGATCTTTAGAGGTCGTTACATGACTGATTATGACTGAAAGTAAATTAATAAAATAATAAAATGTATGTATACGTGGAAAGCTGAAAATACATCATTATTTTTAATTTTGTGATATGTAGTTCCCTTATTTGTATTTTCGAACTACAAGGTAAAAAGCAATTATGCATTTAAAATGAAAAAGAGGCGGAAGATACCTAGGGGACATTCAAAACACATAAATCAAAGAGAAACTGACAATGCTATATGGCAAAAAGCGGTTGTTAGGGAGAATTTTCGAAAGTTCAAAAACACTAAAAAAAAATCTAATTAAATATTTCGTGGAAGTGAAGACTAAAAATATTTAGAAGATTAATTACCCTACATAATACACACATTTTTTTTTTGAAGTTATGCATTTTTAAGATCCACTTGTAAAGTCTGTCGTCAAGAAATTTTAGTTAAAATGTGTTATTCAAACACACCTACTCTGTTTTTATGACTCATTAGAAAGATATTTCCCTTGACCCATATATATTATTTCATTTTTTAGTACTGTGAGATATTAATGTTATTATATCAACCTTTAGCCTAAATATATAAAAATAATAGAATCTGAAGCGAGGAGATGTATCAAATATGTTTGCTTTATACGTTTTCAAGACAAAATAGTCAACACGCCTGAACATATAAAGGTGTACTCGACTTTCTCTTTTTGATGAAATTATTGTCCATTTTTAGAATTTTTTTCCAAAAAAACTGTCGCCGGGGGCAGAGATGCTTATTAATGGTTTAAAAAGATGTATCTTTTATATTTCTGTTGATTTTTTTTTTTTTGCGGAATTCATGCTTATGCACAAAAAAGATCCACATGTATTTGCACCTACCACAATCGACTGTTTTGTGGATATTTGTCTTTTATATTAATTTAATATTGTACAAATATCTCGAAGCTCCATACTATAATAATTTAAGTAAAAACACGTATATAAGATGCATAAAATCCTAAATTATACACCTACATTAAACTTTTAAAGCCCATAGAAACAGATGTAAACAATTCAAATATACCAACTTGGCCTTTTTGACCTTCTCTAATAAAGCGTTCCATTTCTTTTGTTTAATTTCAACTGGATATCAGCCTGATAAGTAATATTACACATATCAGGTACCCGAGTTACAATAAAAGTAACTTTAATTTCCATTTTCTATCATGATTTCCTCGAGAGGGTTGCTGCTTACAAGGAAGCTTTTGAACCAAGAGTTCCGAGTGGTGAAGTTGAAATCATCCCTTCGAAAATTTTACGGACGCCATTACGTGTTGGTTGACCGTTATGGAATGTGTCATGTTTCACAGATGACGACGGATATGTTCCAATATAAAAATAAGAAGATGTGGTAGGATTGCCAATGAGACAACTCTCCACAAGAGACCAAATGACACAGAAATTAACAACTATAGGTCACCGTACGGCCTTCAACAATGAGCAAAACCCATACCGCATGGTCAGCTATAAAAGGCCCCGAAATGACAAATGTAAAACAATTCAAACGAGAAAACTAACGGCCTGATTTATGTAAAAAATAATGAACGAAAAACAAATATGATATCCAGCAACAAACGACAACCACTGAATTACAGGCTCCTGGCTTGGGACAGGCACATACAGAATGTGGTGGGGTTAAACTAGTTTGAAGGCGCCAACCCTCCCCAAACCTGGGACAGAGGTGTAACGACACAGCATAAGAACAAACTATGCAAAACAATAAACGAAAAACAAATATGAGAAACAGAAAAAAACCGAACTATAAAACAGTTGAAAAAGGCTCAACTCATTAGATGGATACAAAGCAGAACTACATCTAACAAAAACACAGAGTGGACGTGGCAGGGTACTTATACATCCCCACAACAAAAAGACACTAAGTACAGATCTGAGAGTACTCACAGTTAATGACAGCTAGTTCAAAGCCAATAACAACTAATAAAAAAATCATGCATCTAAGACTAAAATGAATGTTTACCTGCATCCTAAAACAGTATGATATTAAAGGACACTCGCGAAATGGCGGGTTAACAAAACTAGATTATCGTTTTGGGCGTGTCGTTTTCTTTACTGACCAAGTGATTATATGGAACATTGCTTGATCTGAATGAATAACTGGAGAGATATTCTGAAAGCGAGGATAACGAACTACACTATGCATGCTAGCTTCAAGACAGTCATATGGATTATACAAATCGAGAAGCCTGAGAAACGACACACAAAAACATGTCTCCACACATAGTTTAATAGTGGGAGGATTGGTTATTACACCCTTTTATAGGACAAAGTTTTTACCATCACCCTTACCTATGACTAAGTGATCACAAGTATTTTTTTTCAATTAATCCACATGTCATTTGAAATCAAATTTTACATCTTGTCATATTTAACAAATTTAGTTGTTTAGCTTTGATAAGAAAATAACAACCTAGTGTCGTTTGGTCATCCTTTCGGAGTTAACACTTCCTTAAAATATCTATTAACTTTTCGTCCTTTTTATTCATTTTAATGCATTTTCCTATTTTTGAGATTATGTCGAACTTTAGTGAAAGCTCTCCATTAATAAGATTACTTGAAAATACAACATGCCACAAAACTTGATGATGCATCAAGACAGACAACTAGATCTATGTGATTTTGAAGGGATTGTTGTTGTTTTTTTTATAGATAGGCACTCATAGAAAATATTTTCATTGTTGGATATTCAATTTTTTGGAAATTGTCATTTTGTTGCTTCAAAAAATAGGTAATTCTTCAAACTGTCATCTTATAATTTTCATTCGTTACGACGACACTTTTAAATTTCATATTATTAAGAAATCATTAATTAACTTCTAATCATTTATAAACCAAAATTTTTTCAATACGTGAAAATAAAATTTTCTGAAGGAAAAAAAAAATGTTATATCAAAAAATGAAAACATTTGGTCTCGAATGTTCCCGATGAAGGTTATTCCAGTAGTACGTATTGTGCGCATGAAAATCATGCTACATCTGGTGTTGAACTTTTAGTTCCTGTGGGTTCTATTCGGCATGTAACCAGAGCTTCTGTATTTCCTTCAATTATGAAATTGTCATAAAATATGGTTACAACTCCTTCATGCAAAGTCGACTTTAGACAATTTTGGTTGTTCTGCTGTTTTAATAGGCTTCTTTGGTTTTATACTCAATTTTTTGTATCTTTGGATTTTTGTCTCGCGCCCACCTAATGAAGGTTATTCCAGAAACATGTGTTGTGCGTAGTCATATTATGCGCTAGTTTCTAAAATGTGTCGGTCGGTGCCGCTGCTGGATGAGTGAAATATCCCATCCAAGTAGACGGAACTTAGGCATTGGCATGATTTCAATGACACACTTGCTGTAAACCATTTTATACAATTATGTAATTGTCATAACGTTAATGCTGCAACTCCCTTAGACAAAGTCGACCGTAGACAATTTTGGCAATTATCTAAAGGTCCTCTTGGTTTGTTGCTGTCATACGATTTGTGTTTTTTGGTTTTTCAAACGTAATGTCTCGAGCGTACCTCATAAAATTTGTTCCGGAATCAAATGTACACACGAAAATTATATACGTTTTATACTACAATTGGATCGGTATAGCTGCTAGTGGATTATCAGTCCCAAGGGGGCCATTCGCCAAATAACCAGTGCTTCGATATTTGCATGATTTAAAAAATACTCAATATGTATGTAAATTTACAGCTTATTATTTATGCAATTGTTATAATACTCAGCTTCCAACGACCTCAGGAAAGTAACCTATGACTTCTCTTGTCTCTTTTGTCGTTCTGTTTATGCCCTTTTGGCTACATGCTCAATCACGTTTTATATATTTGGGTTTTCTTACCAAGAGTATTGGAATGATGAAGGTTATTCAAGACACATATTTTGCTTCTCTCACTAAAATCATATACGTTTCATTACAACTGGGTCGATACCGTAGTGGTGGAGTAACAGTCACCTAGAATATCATCCTAGTAGAGTGGTGGAGTAACAATCACCTAGGATATCATCCTAGTAGAGTGATTGAGTAACAATCACCTAGGATATCATCCTAGTAGAGTGATGGAGTAACAGTCACCGAGGATATCATCCTAGTAGAGTGGTGGAGTAATAGTCACCGAGGATATCATCCTAGTAAAGTGGTGGAGTAACAGTCACCGAAGATATCATCCTAGTAGAGTGGTGGAGTAACAGTCACCGAGGATATCATCCTAATAGCCATTTCTACGTTATTAGCATGATTTAAACTACACTGTTGATATCTAGTCAATAAACTTAATGTAATATTCATAAAACTAAAAGTTGCAACTCATTCACGCAAAGTTTTTTGAAATTTTGGTAATTCTGTTTATGTCTTAACCGTTTTCTATTTTTGGCTTTCCGAAATTCTGGTTTCGAGGGTACATGCTGAAGGTTATCGAGAAAAGCATTGAAATCCTATCAAACGTTTGGTCAGTTGTAAATTTATTTGATTCTTTCCAATCTTTGAATATAAAGCCCTTTTAACCCATTAAATCAATTTTATACAACGAAATGTTCCACTGGTTATTTTAATACTGCAGTAATAATTTTCATTCTTAAAACGTTATTTTTGGATTATTCCAATGTGTACATCATCTAGTAGTTTGTAACAAGATTATGTATTGATTTTTGACGTACGGATAACAGACTGTGTGTTTACACTTCGGCTGACAACATTAAAAATAGTGAGCAGATACCACGAGTCCATGTGAGCAGACAACACCATGGCCAAAAAATAATAACGGTCAAAAGACAAACAATTAACAAAACATTGCACAGAAACCGAAGCTTGAGCAAAACAACCCCAACAACGGTCGTATATGGTGACTCTTTAAAGTATTTTTCAGAGATCTTTGAATATTCCAATTTCTTTAAAGTCCTTCTATAATTAGATATATACGGGCATTTCACTATGCATATATTCTAGTAGTTGCGGAATCGTAGCTCTTAGGTCCTTATTATATTCTTTGACAAATCTATGGTCCGAAAATCTACGGTTCCGCAGCTTATATTCTAGGTACTAGTAACAAATTGAATCGTCTTTTTGTCAATTGTTATTAACTGAAAATTAAATTTACAAAAATCGGATATCGAATGCGACAATATAACTTAAACTGAAAATAAATACAAATTTTATGTCAATTCCATTTTTTTAAGGTATGAAGACAAGGATTCTTGCAACTCATTCTACGATGAGAAACGGTCAAAACATACTCAAAGTTTCTAAATGAAGTTTATTATATTATACAATATGAAAAATATACCATTAGCACATTGACCACATTGCCTCATTACTATAAGATGACGGTAATACCGTCATCTTATAGTAGTGAGGCAATGTTAAAGTAGAATTATTTATGTAAGTCAAAGCAGATTCCTGTTGCATTGCACATGGTCGCGTCTTTCTCTCTGTACTGTATATGATGTTGTTCCAAGGCTCCGTGTTGAAGGCCGTACTTTGACCTATAATGGTTTACTTTTACAAATTGTGACTTGGATGGAGAGTTGTCTCATTGGCACTCATACCACATCTTCTTATATCCATGAAATATTCTATAAAGTACAGCAACCGGTATTACTGTCTGTAGGACAGCGTGATTTCATATCAACAAGTCCCCTATATACTTTGAGTCTGCTTTCTGTAACTACAATCAATCTTGCTCAGCTCATTTAGCTCATTGTTGAATGCCGTACGATGACATATACGTCATTTCGTCTTTGGTTGAGAGTTGTCTCATTGGCAATCTTAGTACTATATCTTCTTATTTTTAAATTGTTCTTCATGTCCATGTGCCTCTTCTAATGTCTTAATGTGTTTGTGTGGGTTTTTTGGTCAATTTTGTGAATCTGGTGTTGATGGCTGATCTTTTAATAGTCCTTGTTCAAATTAGTCACTAATTCTCTAGACTTGGGGCGATTTAGAGCTTGGTTTAAATAAAGACACCTGTCTATTTTTGAAGACCTCTAAATGTCTGTGCTGGGTTTTGATATATCGAGTACTGTCTCATTAACGAATACCGAACGTCTGTTTTTATTCATATTGTTCGTGGTTAGGACGAGGTAGGGTATGATGTAGGTTGGACAAGACTAAGTTGTGTAAATGGTAAAACGTACACATAAAATTGATACATATTGCACTTGAAAGACATAGTTCATAACTTGTGTGTTGCTTTACAGAAAGTGTGTTTTATGGCTTATTTTTTATATATGCATATCTGGTAAAAAGATCTCATTTTTTCTTCATTATTACTGTCATTCGAAGATCACACGAATATATGCTTTGCACTTTGAAAATGAGGGAAAACAAATTTCTACTCTTTACACTGGTTGATCGAAACTCTTTTTCTATTTGCATCACAACATTCCTTTTTTCACAGGAGAAAATCGACAATTTCCATCACACGTAATTAGTGTGTTATAATAAACTTATATTTTATTTTGTAAACACATGAACTCTCTGTATGCCTTTCCCTGAGTATCCTCTATAAAACTGTTTCCAGTTTGTTGCCAAATAAGGATATCTGATTTTACCATAGCAACGGTCAGCATTGAATCTTATATAATCCTGATTGTTGTTATATTCTACTCCTATTGTAAGAGAACCACCTTCTTTAGTTACACACCAACCTCTTGCCACTGCAATTATGTCTCCCCAGGGATTTAAAGCATCCCCGTATCGTCCAAGTCCCGAATGTTCAACCGAACTAAAGGTCACTACAGCATCGAATTCTCCTAACGTTTTGTTTAAATATGCCATTCTAAATTCATAAGGTACCATTGTCTTAACATTCGGAATATGTGAAACTATTTTACCATATTCAAGAGTAACAATTTCTCGCGCACCTGCCTCCAGGACACATGCTTCTGCCCAAGGCTTTACGGAACCAATAACAAGGACTCGTCCATTCTTGACACCTGGTGCATGCTTCAACCCATCACGAAGAGCATTTGTATTGTTTACACCATAATTTCCAACAAGTTTACCCTTTTTGGCTTTAGATATCAAACCGTTAATTTCCGACTGTGTCCAAACAGGTACAGAAATATGTTTTCTCTTTCCTAAAGAATGTTCGTCAAAATAATAACTCACAACCTCTAAACGATTTTTCATGGTAAATTCGTTCCAGAGTACTTTAGGTATTTCCTTTGGCGCTTTCTTTTGACCGTGTTCTCTGTCAATGTATTCGTTGGTAAATAAAGCATTACAATTTATCTTAGCGGTCATATGATCAAAGAATGGTCCTGGTGTCCCAGGTCGATCTGTATCACAAAGTTCACCACAGTCTTGGCGTATTAACTCAATAGGAGACAAATCAAACGTCTCGGTAGAAGAGGTTTGCCTAAAATTTGATTCTCTGTTCGTATAGTCAAGAACTTGATTCTTCTCATAAAAATTTGTTTTTGTATAAATGTTGCCTAAACATTTCCATGCAATCAAAACCAAGAATATATATACAGTCACTTGAACAATTCTTTTAAAGGTACATGCATATAGCGACATGTCGATTTTGGCACCACGGTACATTGGTATCTGAAAATATATTCAAAGATCAGGTTGTTTATTTTATTATATTGATGGATTAAAATTTATGATTGAGAAAAATAAAACGAAGTTTATTAAATGGTTGTTCCTCTTTAAAACGAATAAAACGGAGGTATGACTACTTGCGTATATACAAGACATGCACTAATATATTGGTAGACTTTAATGACGCAACACTTTTTTTAAATCGCCGTTTTAAACTTTTTTTTCTACAGAGGTTGGAAATCTCAAATGAAAATAAATCAACAAAGAAAAACCACAAAGTATCTCCCAAAGTGTTAAAAACAGTCAAACTTCCAAAAAAAATAAACGAGAAAATAAGTGTACAGATCTCATCATATGTTATAAAAAAAACCCAGCGAAATTTAACCCTGGTAATGACGCTATATTTATTATGAAAGAAGTCAGAATGACAAGAATGTGTAAATTATCATGTGGTCCGAGGACACAGTTATCGTCCTAGTGTGAACAGTGTATAACTTGCAAATTTTTTTCATACACTTTCCCAATTTATTTCTTGATATTTCATGCATGAAATATTAAGTAAGTGGATGAAATTACATGTTAAAAAATTAGGGTGCTGAATCTTTTTTTAAGTAGTGATTTGGTCCAGTTCAAAAAGGTCAAAAATTAATATGTCTGAAGCTGTCAAACTGAATTTTAGACCCCCTTAACATAGAATTGTCCATATTTTGAGTTAGAGCTGGTAGACTTTTCTGTAATTTTGATATTATTTGTCCCAATAGTAGTACACTACACTGTAAAAATCTTTTTAAGATAGAGCAGGTGCGATTTTTTTAATTTGAATTTATTGTCTAAAAGAAATGCACTACGAAATAACTGTGTTCTCGGGCCATGTGATGTCAAGGAAATAAGCACTGAGGTCGCAACATACAGAAATGAAGGAGACACTATGGACAATATTACCATGGAAGTTCATCAAAGAACAAGGCCGTCATAGAACCATTTTATAGAAGTTTAATAGTACTGAGCATAATATAAATAATAATCAAATAAAGTCGATATAAATAAAAGGAGATGCGAGGTAAACGCCAAACGCACCGAATCTAATAAAATTTAACAGAGACCATCAAAGATCTGCCATACTCTTTTTTGTTTCGAAATACTTAATATTATTATATTTATTATAATTATATTGTTCTGATCTACCATTCTGACAAAATTTGCCAGAATTTCATCGACAGATTTGAGAACATATAAGGATTTTGGCATACGAGAGGATGATTTAGGCACTATATCAAATGGTTCCATATTTGTAGTTATCTAGATAAAGGTCTCATCCAGGTGTTTATGGTTCCATATTTGTAGTAATCTAGATTAGGGTCTCATCAAAGTGTTGACTATATACATGGGATTCATCAGCGTTCAATCATGTGCTTCCAAACGGAGTGAATCGTGTCGTTTTGCTTGATTACCAAGGAAAGGGAACACAAGATATTTCATACAATATTTTAACTCCAATCAATTAAATTGGGATATTAGATTTTCGTGAGGAAAGAAGGAAGTAGAGCATTTGTTTTTGCTTTTAGCAGAGATACACTATTTCCACTCCTGGTGTGACTCTGGTTATCTTTTATTCAATCAATTCATTTTGTCAGAAATTTAGAACAATTTTTTTTTCTCAGCAGGTTTTAAAAGTTAGAAGTGTAAACAGATGCCTCAAATAACCTTTCATAAAATTGGGTCCGACATAAACATTGTTATACATTTCACTTCGTTAACGCTAACGATTGCTAAAACATGAATGACAAAAATAATTTTTAGGCTCATTTGACAATAATGCTAGTGAAAAGGGGGCATCAGACGCTTGACGATAAAGGTCATTCCTACCCTCATGTGCGGCTATCACAATACTATATTAACTACACGATACAATTAGGCATTTCGGTAAAGGTTATCAACAATATACAAATGCGACTACAAAATTCAAATAAAAAAGAAATATATTTTTGGGTTCATTATAAACAAATCATGCTATAATGTTGAAAAATGATGAGTTTAATTCATGAAAAGCCGTTTATTTCCAAATGTGTCCTTAACAGTATCAGCTTTATGTGTGTGTAGGGGGCTCGGTGGTCGAATGGTCTATTTAGTTTTTTCCCTATCCAAATCGCTGACTGATAAACGCGGACCTCATTGAAGACCCCAAATTGAACTGTTACGTAAACAGTAATTTAAACATAACCGTTCGCTCTCGCAACAGAAGCATGATACCAGGAGACTATAAACGTCTAGTATACGTTTATCGGTTCATGTTATAGCAGGATAAATGAAAATTACACTAAATACATGTCGTGCTTCCAGAGCGCTTTTCTGGGTTAACTCAGGAACCCTAATCTAAACATTTGAAAGCCAGGTATTTAAATGTATAAAGTAGTAGAAAAGTTAGGAGATATATGACCAAAAAGGACCTATAAAGAAAAGCCAAAATATGTCTACAGTCAACATTGCAGGAGGGAGTTGGAACCTTAGTTTCTAAATAGTTTCTTAATTTATAAACGGGGAATTTGAGAAAATATGCTAAAAAATCATGTCAATACCGAAGTACGGACTACTGAGATAAGAATACCCTCGGGGACTAGTAGTGGAATTGACCCAGTGCTATTAAAATACGATATATGAAACAAGTTGCTTTCTTTAAAAAAAAGAAAAGCAATACGTGAACCCGAGACCACTGACTGACTGAGTTAACATTTAAGGCCTGACTTTTTTTATTTATTTCTTGGAAGCGTACATCATTTTTTCATAATCCTATTGCAAATCCCAGTTTCTGCAAACCGGATGTGTAATGCAAATTGCACAAACCAATCGCAATATAAATTTAAACACTCAGTTTGCTTTATAATCTGGATACATTTGTTTTATCTATCATATCTTCATATTTTGTTTCCTGGATGCCTTCAATTATTCTTAGTCTCATTAGTGAAGCTGTCTGTACTCATTGTTGATGTTGTATAGATAAATTTAAAGTCCAATTTCCATGTGAAGTGAAACCCTGTGGCATGCAACTTATAAGAAGGTTTCGTATATTTTTCTTGATCATATACAAACAAGTCTAAAATGAAACCAACGTTCAAACCTATGATTGCGTTGGATAAAAACCGCAATTTTTATACGTGTGCATGCAAAACAAATTTCTTGTTAGAGGGATCTAAATACAGCACAAACAACATTTTCCAAAAGACCAAAAAAGTGAAAAAGTATATTTTAACAAAACGCATTTGACTAACAGGTCGAACAACAAATGTTCTTAAACCCTGCTGACTGCCATTGGCGATTGCCAAATAGACGGATCACCGATGTAATAAAATTGGGAATGGAAATGGGGAATGTGTCAAAGAGACAACAACTCGACCATAGAGCAGACAACAGCCAAAGGCCACCAATGGGTCTTCAATGCAGCGAGAAACTCCCGCACCCGGAGGCGTCCTTCAGCTGGCCCCTAAACAAATATGTATACTAGTTCAGTGATAATGGAAGTCATATTAAACTCCAAATTATACACAAGAAACTAAAATTAAAAATGATACAAGACTAATAAATGGATCTTAATACTCTAGTTCAGGGAAAGCTTGTTCGCGACCTAGAATTTTGAATGGGTCAAGCGTTTAATTAAAATCCATGCGAGAATATGCGAGATTTGGATGAACTGGGGGCAAAGTCATTTGGTACAAATCAATATTCGATGTTAAGGACGCCCGCCTTTTTCCCGTTTACCTGTGAAGTCGTTGAGGAGTGTCATCTGTTTTTTGGTTTATGTTTATGTTTAATAAAGTAAAAAAAAATATTGTGAAGAATTTCGAGACCTAGTGTTTGAAAATTACGGGAGAAAATTGGGAAAGAAATTTGAAGGAAACTTGAAATTTACCTTGCAAATAACCAAAACGAAATGTTTGATAAAGAAGGAACGAGGGCCTACAAGTCCCTGGAAGCTTCCAAGAACTTTGAGGAAGTTTATATGCAGAAATATCATCTTTGGAGATTGAGAATAATTTCCTGATACATGCTGACGTAATGGCAAAACAGTATATCATTCAACGGTGACACTACATAACTTATTTTCTTTGGCTGGTGTCGGGCGGATATAGATAAACAATTTAAACCATATGATTGTAATGTAAAATGGAGCTTTTTTGAAAAGTTGTTGCTGGTTATAACACAAAGTCGATATCATGAATGATATTATGCGAAGTATTCAATAAAATATAACCATGGCTTCATAAATGTTATGTTTTCAATATTATATGTAAATAGTCTGATCGTTTAACCTCGGAACAGTTTATACGTTCCTTGTTCAACCCATAATAAAAAAGTTCCCATAAAAACAAACAGCTACAGGTCGTCGTATGGAATTAAACTCTTAGCTAAAAAGTCACACTCACTAATAAGCTATACAATGTCTTTACTCGGACTGTTGCATTTTAAACAAACAATTTATTAAGTGAAAAGTCCAGCGCAATGTAGAACAAAACAGTTTCAACTTTCATATATCATTATCACGATCTTGACCTGCATGGATATGCATTTAACTTGCAACTGGACGATTAAACAAAACGGTTAGGGACCGGTGCAAAACCAAAATGAACTGTAAAAAAACTTGAAGTCCCATGGTTATGCAAGTGAAGAAAAGTTGATGTCCCATTCTATTTTGCAACAAAAAAAGTTGGTGTCCCATGCTAATTCATACAGTATAAACTCACACAAAGCCCCTCAAACCAATGTGCCAGACAAGCATACATGTACATCATTCAAATAATGCCCACATTCTTTATTTAATTTTTTGAAGTTATTATCTGAGGTTATTTTTTTTGCGATTTGTTTACTTTTTCTTGTCCCGCCAATTTTGTTGTACAGAAATTAGTTATTTTCAAAAATCTTTTTGCTCTCTGGCCATGCTAATATTTATTATTTGTCCAGGTTTAGTTTTATGAAAAAATTCTTGCCCTGCTATAATATAATCAGAAAAC